GAGAAAAATAAAAAGGTAATTTGGGAATTGGAACGACATTGCACTGATGAATCTGTAGAATTGAGGAATTAGTTATTTTCAAATACGAGGGTATAAAGAGTTTTAATATTTTTTTTATTTTTATTTATATAAGCAGAGACATTTCGGATCATTATAGATGCAATGTGTTAAGCATTAGTATAAGTGACATTCAAGCGTCATTAATTGATAAATCATCTTAAAAGTAGGGACGTGATTCCCATTTAGATGACTCGTGATTCAAGGACACGGATTGCATCAATGGTGCTACGTAGCATTATTCAAGGGAAATGACAGTTGAGATGGCGGTAGTCCCACCTAATAAAAGTCATTTAGCACTTCACAACCCCCATCAGTATCCCCCAAGGCATTCAGGGAAGGAAAGCAATGGCTCAACAGGTACTTTCTATCCTACCTTGCAACCCCTGCACTCCCAAGCAAACACTCACACAAACACACAAATGCACACACTCTACTCTCTGCACAAAAACCACCCCGACCACAGCCGTCCCATTACGAGCATGTAGGCTATACAATACTAGACCGCACTGAACACTAGAATGAACAAGATTGCAGTTCCTGTTTCTCTACTGGGCAATGTTGTTCAGTGTACGTTACCAAACATGACACGAGGATATACGTGGACCAGTTTTGAAAACTTAGTGATAATCAATGTAATAATCTGAGCTTATTGAATGATTTTCTTGATTTTTGAAGGAAGAAGAGTGGCCTTTGGGGCTGCAACCTTTGCCAAGAAATCGTGATCTCAATTGCTTGCTTTCCTTCGACTCTTTGTTCACTTCCGCTCCCAACTCTTCCACTGATTCTTCTTCTGATATTGATAATGAGGTCAGTCTCTATAACAAAACTTATAATGTAAAAACTTCTTATGTGGCTCGTGGAAGGGGTTGTGTGGGCGTATGCAGAAAAAAAAATCTGGGTTTCAAGCTACAAATAACAAAAAAAGATTTAAAAGATTTACTTCGAATTCCAGGCTATTTTAGGCATTCTTTAAAGATCAATCTAATGTTCTTAACGTACGAAAGATAATATAATAGGCCGTTTGAGAGGTGTGAGAACGACATTGTAATTATTTATTTTTTGGTTAATCACTATAAATTTGTACGTCTGTACGTTTCCCTGTCTTTCTTTTTGGTCACGATTAAGGCTTAATCCCTAACCCTATTCATATGAACAGCCCTTTTTTCAATTCCAAGATTGGCACTTAAATTTTGTCAACTCACTCCTGCTAACTAATCTATAATTAAGATAAAAGGTAACATATATCTGTACAAATTAGTGTCTACTCTGTGTGTGTGTGTGTTCATGTTAATCTCGTCTTTGTCAGATTGGGACATGTTTACTTAAAGCTGAAAGGCGTGAAAGCACTTTACCCTTTTCACATGGCTTTAAATGATTTTGTTTCTCATTGTCCATTTCGATTTACTTTTATGGGGCATGTTGAGCTGCATTCCCCCAACTCAATTAACCAACTAGAGTTCTCAAATTGTGTTAGATACTAAACTTTAATGGCCGTAAAAGACTCGACCAATTCAAGAATGTGAGACGGTGAGGCCTGCTCAAAACCGGGTCATGCCAGTACAGCTTGACATGCTTTACAACCCTCTCCCTCGACGAAAGAACAAAGAAATAAAAAAGAAAAGACACCGGTCTTATGATAATGTTTGAGTGAACTGAATAAATCCAGTTCTAGAGCCAGCTTAATTGTACTCTCTTTTACAACTAAGCTCTGCGGCCCCTAAAAATTTGCTAAACGTAACTCAGCAATCCTGGCTAATCAAGAACTCCTCTTTACTTCACGAGTACTTTTAAGTAATGATACTATGTTAGACTGTAAAGCAAAAAATCCACATGCATTAGTATCCCTTTTGAGGGATAGATTTTCATAGCTCTCTCCTTGTTATGTTAATGATCATTCTCTGTTTTCAGACCACCGGTTCTTTCTTACACGACAAAGATATCACATTCGGGAGCCTTATCAGTATTTCAAGCATTGTAGACCACTCGAGAAGATCGATGAGGGGAAGAATAGTAGAACCTACAAGGAACAAGGGGAGTTGCAAATACAAGAGTTGGTTTTTATCCCTATGCTCAAAGTTGAGCAGTGATTCTGTGTGCATGAACAATACCCCGTCTCTAGGTCAATTTCTTGAAGTCGAAAGGAGAACTACTTGCATTTACAGGAGAAATTAGAGCTTGTGATGGAAGATTATAAAGTACTAAAGTACTAGACAATGTTGAGGAAGAAAAATAAGCTTAACTATTGTTAATTACATCATTTAGTCCTACCCAATATTCTATGTTAAAACATGCTAGGGATGATTTTTCTCATGCTTGAGACCCTATTCGTTGTTTGTAGTCATCTAACTATTTGTACTCCGTTCTATTCCACATGATTTCAATTTCTTCTATAGATGAATTTGTATTGCATTGCTTGTACCTTTCACCTTAATAAATTCCAATCAACTCAAAGATATTTTATTCTACTTGTATGGCAACCCCTATGAGACAAGTTTTGAATATGCCAGAATAAATCAAGGCCCAAGCTAAATACAGATGCTAAGAAAAGAATGTTTGATGCTAAAAGCACACAAGCAAAGCACAAGTGCAAATTAGAGGGTCTTAATGAATTCATTGTGTTCCCACGTGTAAGAAATTAACGTTCTAGTAGGGAAATTTACCCAAATTTATGTGATCAAAAAAATTTCACGAGTCCAGAGGTATTAAATAGAATTAAGTAGTTTGATAAACAAGATAAGCTTATTTTTCTTCCTTAACTCTCCAATACTATCCAATCCTTCGTACCACACATGTCATGTGCATATAATTGATACGCACAGTTCGACAACACTGTCCATGACAAGAGAAAAGATTTTAAGTTTCTTTTTTTCTTTAATCCTAATATGTCATTTATAACATAGATACCATGTATAATAAATATTTATTTATCATCTTTCGCAAAGAAGAGTTGGGTAGATTACAATAACAAAATCCAACTAGGTGATTACACTTAAGATCATTTCAGCTTTTAACAATAAACTTCTTCGCGTCTCTTCAATTCAGCGCGATTGAGTTTAAAGATATCTTGCAACAACATGGTAAAGCATCAATCTACACCAATTCTTAATGCTTATCAAACCCCTCATTGCATTCAGCAGCAACCTTCCCCAAACCACGGCCCAATTTCCCAAGTGAAGTCAATGGTGACAAACTCTTGAAGCTGCTGCCTTCGTCAGGATTAAGTGACTTTCTTGTTCTTTTTGGTTTCATCAGGCTAAATTCCAACTCCACGTCACTGTTGGTTTTAGTCTTGGCAACAGCTAGTTGGGTAATGGGACTTCGACAAAAGGGACAGACTGGAACCTTGGAGCAATCTGTTCCAAGATTGGGTTTGTTGTGGCAGCACAAGGCAAGAATGCAATGAGCACACATCTCATGCCCACATTTTTGAACCTCAATTGTACAGACCTGCTCAAAGCAGATGCAGCATAGCTCGACATTGCAAGCCTGTTTAACATGGAAAATTTCCCATTTCATCTTTAGGAGATCATTTTATGACAGAAGATTTGGCGGCCATGTATCATTGGTTATGGGATGCAAATCGACAAGGGTGTATAATTAAATCTCCCCTCTTTCTCATAGTTGAATATATTGCTGAACTCATTATGTCTCTATCTTAAAAATATCACAATACAAATAAAAGAGATTCTACTATGTTTTGATCGTGAGCAAACTTCCGCATTAAATTTATGTGGTAAGCTATTCCTCACAAGTTCCTTCATGCAATCACAGAGTATGCAAGATAAGTAGCAAAATTAGGTACCTCATTGCCATCGTCAACGCCATTGTCAATGCCACCGAAATTTGAGGGTGGCAAAAGAGAGTTGGATGTCTCCTTCAAGATTGCCTTCTCTCTCTCCTTGTTGGCCATAATTAGGGCTTTCTCTAATAAGGCTTTCGCTTCAGAATTCAGCTCGTTGATGAACTTCAAGCGTGCTGGCCAGGTTAAAGGCTCTGGGGCTGATGGATTCAACAAAGCTGCACAGGCTTCATGCTTGTACTTAGCTGCAACCATGTAAGGTATTCTCCTGCAGAGATACGATACTATAATCATAAAACTCTTACAAGCAAACATGATCAGCGATAACAGTATAAAGAATATAGCATCGATGATGGATTTAGTATTCAGAAATATATATGGCATAGAAAGGGTTGTGGAGGATTTGATGTTAAATGAAGTCTCCTACCGGTACAAGCACAAGATTTACTTATGCTTTCCTTATTCAATTGAGAGGAGGATCGTCATAACTTTGGTGTTTCATAAGACCTAAACTATTTTTTAAGACTCTGTAGCTGCGGGGGAAATAATAATGTTGAATTAGACATCTGGTTGTGTGAGCTTCCATAGTTTGTAACATTCCTTTTAAACTTAAGTACTTAACCCTACCACTTTATTGATCTTATAAGAAACCCATAAATACATACAATCATGAAATTTATGCAATGAAAAGCTGAAAAACTGGTCTTCACAAGGGACATTACTGGAACAAATTATTTTCTAGTGACATTTTGCGATGACCTTGTCTTCCATGATAGTCATATAAATGAGAAAATATGTTAATTAGTTAGTTACCTATAAACTTTGATCCAAGACAACCATTCAAGTTAGCTATGTTTTATGTTAAAAGTTTAAAGGAAATGCCACCAGAAAGTACATACTCGTAAATAATTTCATTTGCTCACCCAGAGGAATCTCTCAGGAGACGATCAGCACCCCAAGCAAGCAATTCCCGGACACAGTCCAAAGAACCATTCCGAGCAGCCAAATGAAGAGGTGTACTTCCTAGGTAGCTGATGGCAGAAACTATCATTATAGCCTATAAATTGCAATGAAACTAAAAAATTTCAGAAATTCAAGTTAAATGATTACCTATACCCAACACCACAAGCAGTAGCACACACAAGAGCCCCACTGCTCAATAGAATACGAACACACTCTGCTTGCCCTTGACGGGCGGCCAAATGCAATGGGGTAGACCCACTTCCATCTCTTATGTTAACAAATCTGGTAAATCCCCTGACCTCCCATGAAGCAGGAGAATTAGTAGATTGTTTTTCGACAGATGCATATAAGCCAGCAAATACATCGTAGGAAAAATGAGAGAAATAATCACCAAGAATGAGCAACAGGGGTCGAACGGGCAGCAGAAAGAATCAATTGCAGGCAATCTGAATAACCATAGTAAGCTGCATAATGCAAACAGGTTCTTCCATGTAATGTATCAAATGTTAAAATCTGGAAGAAGAACACGAAGAACCAGTCATCAAATTGTTGGCAAAAAAAGAACCAATAATTACTAAAAGGAAAAGAAACCAACAATATTTGAATAAAAAATTAAATACAAGGACAATACATTTGCTCCTGCTTGAATCAGCCTTTCAGCGCAGGAAATCTTGCCATGCATAGCAGCTAACATCAATGGAGTCTAAGCCCATCAGAATTGTCAAATATTTTAGTATACATAAAATAAAAATAAACACAAAAAGCTGACTATTGCAAAAGCCATCTCAATCAGAAATAATATAACAATGACAAAAGAAATTTCGCTTAAACAATAATCAGTCAACACGCACACTCACATAACACATAAACAGAGCACACCTGTTTGTTTCGATTTAGAATATCTGGATTTTCAATTCGATCCAGAAGCATAGAGAGAACCTAACAGAATACAAACCCAGAAAATCAAAATTAAAACCATCCAAGTGAAAATCAAACCCCGTCAATGAATTGTAACTTTATAAACAATGAATATGAAACAATAATATTAATAAGAAAGATCACGAAAACGCCACCTCGACCCGCCCATTGGCGGCTGCCACATGAAGTGCAGAGAGCCTCTTATTAACAGATTTCAATGCCAACAAACTCGGATCCTCATCCGCCATTGCTTCAACTGTTTCCATCTCTCCCTTTTGGACTGCAATGAACAGTTCATGTTCTTGGGATTCTCTGCAACTGAGTCCCTGCCCCATTCTCTTAGCATCAATGGAGAGCCCCCAAGAAATTGCTATTCACGCGCAACCCACCACAGCTGATGAGGCGGTGGCAATGGCCACTCAACGAGAATGAGTGTAGATAAATTGGAGGGGCCGATGAGAAGGGCAATCTGAAGTAGTGGAGTGGTCTCGGATTATGAACCTGCCCGCCAAGATTTCGGGCAGATGACTGTACGTGTTTGCTCGATTTTCGGGCAACTGTCGGATTTTCTTTTGTGCATGCGTTTACATGCCAATAATATTTTGAATGTAAAAATAATTGGTGATTTAATCACTCGTTTGACAGATTTTTTTTTATTTTTTTATTTTTTGTGAAGAGTTTTATCTAAAAGGTCGTCTTTAAAAAAAAAAAAAAAAGCACTTTAAAATCACCCAAACAAATTACAAAAATTTCTTAACTCGATCAAGGATTCAAGATAGACCCTAAATGTCAAAATATCATTCTTTTAATCGAAAACTCAATTCAGGTTTGATTTAGCTAAAAATTGTATTTTATGTAGATTTTGATAAGAATTGATGAAATATAGATTCTATAAAATGTGTGATTAAAAATAAATTTGAAAAAATAGGGATCAAAAATAGGTTAAATGTCGTGCCATGCACTCATAAAAGCTTTGCTAAAGGTCAAAAGAACCGATTCTCTTTGATTATTTTATAAACTCAGTACGCTCTACCGTGAAAAAATTTATCAAAAGAATCTACTTCTTTTCATCTTTAAAGCAAAGTCAAACACACACTTATGTTTTGCTAAGTTTAAAATAAAAGGTAGAAAAAAAATGAGTATTTACAGATTTTCAACTTCGATGAATAAAAAATTTACACTCCATTTGGATACAATTTATAATTTTCTTTTGTAAATTCAATCAAAATTAAATATTAATTTCAAATTCATATAGATTATTCGTTATTATGCACACATTTTGTGTGATCTTCTATTATTTTTCTTTATATTTTGATTTGTAAATTTGCCAAACGAATGCTTAGTTATTCGAGAACTTGCTTATTTACTTATTAGTAAATCTACTTATAAGCTAAAGTACACATGATCTATGCTACTTTGAATTGAGACAAAGATCTTTCATTCTAATTTTTTTTTAAACGACAGTTTATTATTATTCTACATAGGCATTTATTTATCCTCATTCAATTATGAAAATACTAAGCCCCGTTTGGGATTCATTTTAATGTGTTTTTGGAGAAAATATATTTTGAAATAGTGTTTTAAAAAATGTGTGGTTAAAAAATAAGAATTTTTTTTGAATTTACGTGTAATATTATTTTATTGGAGATTTTTTATTAAAAAGGATAGAGAAAAAATGTATTAGGAGCTCATACATGGGCTAAATATCACAAAAAAAAAAAAAACAATTAATATGAATATATAAATTAAATTCTCATTATGAACCGTATAATTACCTTGGTGATATTGATTTGTGGATTCTATTCTGTATTCTGCAAAGTCTTGTCATATTCGTTTGTCACTTTCTCGATCAAGTTCCACTAGAAAACTTCACTTAAAACTTGTATGGAGGTTTGCTATGTGTTAACTGACACATCGGTGTACAACACTCTTCATAATAAGGGGATTCACAATTTTTTATTGGACGTGGGTCCCTCTATTGTGAGGGTGGTGTTAATCCCAATGTACAAAATAGCAAAACCCAAACTTGTATAGTTGTATTGGGCATATGTTCATCCTATCCTATGCTAAGAGCAATGAGTAACCTGGCAGACCCCTGAAGGTTTTGCTCCTGTACTTGGAGCAAAACACCCTATGGCTATGCTAAAGCCGAAGGCTCCTTGTGTGCAATTCCAATAGAAAAAAACTTCTTACACGCTTTGAACCGAATCGTCTCCTTGTCTGTTTTCTTTCCTCCGCCTCATCGATCATCAGTCGATGGCACGAGACTTTTTCCTCCAAACACATTCAAAGCACAACTTATTAATCGCCCAATTCTTAAAAGTTTAGCCGCATGAGAGATGACTCAGCCTAGCATTCATATCCACTAACTTAAGTTCACTTAAAATTAAATAATTTTACTAAATGATAAACAAGTTGATCTAATAATTTTTTTATAAAAATGCCACTTATTCAAATTATTAAGGATTCAGATATATATTGACAGTGCATAATGCATTTTTCAGTTGCAATAGTAAAAGGTTTAAACAATTCGGTTCTTTCCGTAAAGTTAGCACTAAATTGAGCTTAATAATAATAATAATAATAATAATAATAATAATAATAATAATAATAATAATAATAATAATAATAATAATGTATGCAACCAATCTCGAAATCACTGAAATTAAACTTACTTTGTTATTATTTATTTTAATTTTATTTATATAATAGTAAGAAATCTTAAGATAGTGAGAGAGAATCGAAACAAAATTGAAATATTATAAATAAAATAAACAAATGCTAGTAATTCCAATACCTTATTTAGGCCCTGTTTTCTTAGATTATAAGTCGATGGATCCCATGAAATATTTAGTTAAAAAATGAATAAAATTTTTAGGTTGAATGAAATGCGTAGTTAAAATAGAAGTTTGACCCATTTATAATTTTTAAAAAGCTTCATCAGTTTAGTAAATCAATAATAGAAAACCAATAAAGGCTTAAAGGAAGTTAATTTATGACATTCTTTCTTCAAAAACTGAATGATTTAATTTGAAACCTCCTTGAAAATATGAGATTTTTTTTTATTTTTTGTGTTTAAAAACGATTTTTTATTGGGTTTTTGTGATTTTTTAGTAGTACTTCTTGAGAAAAACTGCAAAAAAAAGTTACTTTTAAATGTGGCCAATCATGTAGTGCCAAACGCGTGGGATCAAGTCATCTTTGGAGTGATCAGATACAGGATGCTTGTGAACTCGAGTGCTCGACATGACCTACATTTCTTGGCTGGGATAATAATGGTTGTACAGGGCCACATGGGCCCTGACGCCCTGTACAAGTAGCATGATTGTTCTTGGCAAATTAGCCTGTTTAAAATACGTTATGCTTGTCTGGACTACAAGTGTAGTATTTTCATTTTTTTCTTTATTTTGTTAAGACAAACTTTAAAAATATAAAAGTAAAAGCTAAAAAGCTGTCTTTAGGCTAAGGCAGTTGGGCCCAGTGCCAAGCCTAATAGTCGATGGACGGCCCAATCATTTTGACACTCCTAACTCAGTAGCATTTGCCCCTCGTCCTTTCGGTATTATACAATTCATAATTTGAAAGATCCAAGTTCTTGTGTTAGTCCGAATGTGCATGTCATGAAATTTAGAGAGGAAATTGGTGGTGGCTATTGCGGTGGACAGACAGTGCAATTCTGAAACATGGTGAGCCATTGGTTGGCCAGTGTGTACCGTATGCAGGTGGTACTATCATGGCCGTGTTGTGATAGAGTAGGTACGAGTAATGTTATTTATCTCCGTTAAACGATTAGATCAATAAATTGCGTTTCATATTCACACATTTAATTGATCTTATCATTTTACATCATATAATGCCCATGTTTGACATCCATTTTGGGGAAAAAATAAATTCTGAAATAGTGATTGATGAAAGAATGTGTGGTTGAAAAGTAATGATAATTTTTGGGTTTATGTGTAATATTATTTTATTGATAGAATGTGTGGTTGAAATGAATAAAGAGAAGAAAATGAGTGTCAAACGGGAGCAATATGTCAAGCAGACTAATGATTGGACATACAGAATATTATTCGAACAGATATTGCTAGGTAGGTTGTTGAGAACATTGATTTTGTGAGTGGATTGATTAAGCTGTTTAATTTGGGCTGCCCATCTAAAGCGATATAATTGAATGACATTTAAAAACCATCAATGGTTGCATCCAAATTCAATTCAATTTGTGGGAGTTTTGGCCCTATTTATAGATAGATTTAGGTGAAAGTTATCAATGCATTTTAAAATTGAATTGACTAGACAGTACAAATGATTAATTAAAATTTGCGTGTGGTGTACAAAATTGTTTTTTACTTGCTAACTCGATCTATCGAATAATCTAGTTAGTTTTATGAGAGTAGTAAATCAAATTTTATATGCATTTATCGACACTCGTACTTCAAGTTTATGGGCCTTATCCTACTCACAAATTTGGATTGCAGAATCTGATGTAAGTCACCCAGTGGAATTGTGAATGTAAAGTCCAAGTGGGTATTCTCGGCCCAAAGGATAAATTCATAAACAATTGAACACAAAACTTTTAACTTAAGATTTTTGTTTGCTCTAGTTCTAGATTAAAACGAATTTATTTACAAGGGCAAGCCAACATTTAGATTCAAATTGATTATAATATAAGGTAACCATTTCAACTCGAATTAACCCTTTTTTCATTTTGGGGAACTACATGTTTACGAAAGACTCAGTAAGACTGGTGCAATTTCTATAAAATGAATTTTAAAGATAGAGAAATATATAAATATTAACACGTCTATTGCTGTTACTTTGTTCTAAAAAGCGCGCCTAGACGACGCCTAGGCGCGAAGTTGGATGAAAATGCCTCGCTTTGAGGCTAAGCGGTAATTAAGCGGTCAACGTCAATGTTGACCGCTTAAAGCTCGTCTAGGCGCGCTTTCTCCTTAAAGGCCAATTTCCCCCCCTTTTTAAATATAACTCATAATGCCAAAATAGAGACTTTACTAGCAAGTGATGCTACTAATG